CCCCCACCCCCACCCAGGTTCTAACTGCCATCTATCCCACTCAAACCGTGGCTCTGGCCACCAGCGTGGTCTCAGTGACGGCCGTGCCACCTGCGCTGGGCGCTCCAGCTCAGGACTCCATAAACCCGCCCTCCCCACCGGCCAAAGGGTCCACGGGGGCCACCGCTCAGCCCGGAACAGGACTGGAGGTCAAGGTGAAACAGGAGAGCCAGGTGGACGCTCAGACTGACGGGTCGGCCATCTGCGACACGAGCTCCTCCATGAGCTGCTGTGGAACCACAGGCCTGACAGGTACCCGGGTTCTAAAGTCCAGATCACATATCTTTAACGAGCTCCTAACGAGCCAGTACCTGCTAGTTTTGTTGTTTGACAGATGTAGAACTACATCTGCTTTTACCCAGAGAGGAATAGTTTGTTTCTGTCTCTTTGCTTCACAAACCAAAAGGATCTTGTTTTGCTTGTGTTCCAGTGAAAAAAGAGGAAGACTTCAACCTGAACATCAAAGAAGAAGACACGAGCGATGAAACCGGCAGAGAGAAACAAAGTGAGACGGATGAAGAGCCCGACGGAGCGACAAAAGAGAGCGGTGAGAAGAAAAGAGCCAAAGAGACTGAGAGAGACGACCACAGCAGCAAAGAGGTGAAAACACATTTTTATTACACCTTTAGTTTGATTAATGAGCTGAAATAAGAACAAAAATATCAGAATTGAGTCTTTTTTATGTTTGACCTTCTTCAAACATGAGAAGAAAATAAAGAGAATAATATAAGTTTCTGTTAAAAAGCAGCGACGCTCAACTCAATATGAGTTGATGGAAAAACAGGCTAGCTAAAGGATAAATGTAGCTAAATGCTAGCTTAAAGCAAAACAAGATCAGTTAGAAAAAGCAACAATCTGGTTAAAAGGCTAAATTAGTTAGCTAAAAGTTCAACATAGCAGAATGATAGCTAAAGTCTAAAAGTAGCAAACGGCTTAGCAGGAAAGACTAAATATAAGAAAAAGCTGGGTAATAAACAAAAGGCTAACTAAAAGATAAAAGTAGCAAAAAGCTAGCTAAATTATCCAAGTCTTAGCTAAAACATTAAGTATTTAACTGGTAGCTAAAAGTGTCAAAAGGCTAACAAAAAGATAAAAACAAAAGGTCATTTAAAAGATACAAGTAGCAAAAGGCTAGTAAAAAGCAAATACTAGCTAGAAGCTAAAATGGCAAAGATGTGGTTAAATAATAAAGCAGGTTTAATGTTTTTAAATATATTTTTATGATCATAATATGAAGAAAATATTTGTAAAAAAAGAAAAATATGTAGAAAAACAATAAAGTTATGAAAACCTGGGTGATTAAAACTCGTGTCCTGATTGAGATGAATGTTTTGATGCACACAAAAAATTAACGCATTTTTCTTAGAGGAGACAAACTGAGTTTTTTTCTTTCAAGTTATTTTAGTTATTTTCTGTAAGAAAAATATGCTGAGCCTGTTTTAAACAGCATTAATCCATAAAGCTCCACTCTGCTGTGAACATCTCCTCACCAGGCTGGACCTCGCACCCCACCTCCTCCACCCTCAGGTTTGGACCCGCCTCCACCCCCACCAGCAGAAAGAGAAGCCCCCTCCACCTCCAAGAAGAATAAGTTTCGACCCCCTCCGCTCAAAAAGACACCCGACTCCCACGACAAGTGAGTATGTGAGGATTAGAAAACGTTTAGGTCAGAAACCCAAACAGGAAGTGAGTGAAGGAGGAACTGAAACGTTTCTGTTCTCGCTTTGTGAGTTTAGACTTCAGGATCTAATCGGAGCACATTAGAACAAAATGCAGAGGAAAGTCCTTTTCACCATGAAAAGTAAACAATAGTAAAGCTGACTCAGCAGTAATTAGAGCTCTCCTTGATTATCTTCTGTAATTTTGGCTGGAAGCAGCTTAAGGGGGAGCCGCGGCGCTCCCATCTGTTGACTGTAACACCAGCTGCAGCGTGGCGCCTCAGAACCATTCAGAGCAAACTTTCAGCTCCTGGTGGGAACTCTGTTTACTGAGTGTGAGTGGGCAGAGTGATGGAGTCTTTATTTAGAGCAGATGAAAGCCGTGCGGAGGCCACAGACAGAAACTGAAGCCTGGAGGAATGGAAACGTGAAAACTCTCCTCTGGACTGACGTGGCGGCGGTGTTTGTGTCCGCAGGGTCCTGTCGGAGACGTACTTCGAGGAGCGCTTTGCTGAGCTTCCAGAGTTCAACCCGGAGGATGTCCTCCCGTCTCCGACCCTTCAGAGCCTGGCCACCTCGCCCAGAGCCATCCTGGGCAGCTACCGCAAGAAGAGACGCAACTCCACGGGTGAGGCGGAGCCACAGGACTGAGGGATTTGTGCTGCTTGTTCACGTGTCTGAATGTTCGGCTCATTCTGGAGACGGAGGCTCTGACCTCTGGTTATAGGAACTTTTAAACTTTTCAGTGTACAGTGGGGAAAATAAGTATTTAGTCAGTCACCAATTGTGCAAGTTCTCCCACTTAAAAAGATGAGAGAGGCCTGTAATTGACATCATAGGTAGACCTCAACTATGAGAGACAAAATGTGAAAAATTTTTTGAGAAAATCATTTTGTCTGACTTTTAAAGAATTTTTTTGCAAATAATGGTGGAAAATAAGTATTTGGTCACCTACAAACAAGCAAGATTTCTGGCTGTCACAGACCTGTAACTTCTTTTTTAAGAGGCTCCTCTTTCCCCCACTCATTACCTGTATTAATGGCACCTGTTTGAAGTCGTTAACAGTATAAAAGACACCTGCCCACAACCTCAAACAGTCACACTCCAAACTCCACTATGGTGAAGACGAAAGAGCTGTCGGAGGACACCAGAAACCGAATTGTAGACCTGCACCAGGCTGGGAAGACTGAATCTGCAATAGGCAAGCAGCTTGGTGTGAAGAAATCTACTGATGGAGCGATAATCAGAAAATGGAAGACATACAAGACCACTACTAATCTCCCTCGATCTGGGGCTCCACACAAGATCTCAGCCCGTGGGGTCAAAATGATCACAAGAACGGTGAGGAAAAATCCCAGAACCACAAGGGGGGATCTAGTGAACGACCTGCAGAAAGCTGGGACCAATGTTACAAAGGCTACCATCAGCAACACACTACGACTCCAGGGACTCAGATCTTGCAGTGCCAGACGTGTCCCCCTGCTTAAGCCAGTCCATATCCAGGCACGTCTGAAGTTTGCTAGAGAGCATTTGGATGTTCCAGAAGAGTATTGGGAGAATGTCATATGGTCAGATGAAACCAAAGTAGAACTATTTGGTAAAAACACAACTCGTCGTGTTTGGAGGAAAGTGAATGCGGAGTTGCATCCAAAGAACACCATACCAACTGTGAAGCATGGGGGTGGCAACATCATGCTTTGGGGCTGTTTCTCTGCAAAGGGACCAGGACGACTGGTCCGTGTACATGAAAGAATGAATGGGGCCATGTATTGTGAGATTTTGGGTGCAAACCTCCTTCCATCAGCAAGGGCAATGAAGATGAAACGTGGCTGGGTCTTTCAGCATGACAATGATCCCAAGCACACTGCCAGGGCAACAAAGGAGTGGCTTCGTAAGAAACATTTCAAAGTCCTGGAGTGGCCTAGCCAGTCTCCCGATCTCAACCCCATCGAAAACCTTTGGAGGGAGTTGAAAGTCCGTGTTGCCCGCCGACAGCCCCAAAACATCACTGCTCTAGAGGAGATCTGCATGGAGGAATGGGCCAACATACCAGCAACAGTGTGTGCCAACCTTGTGAAGACTTACAGAAAACGTTTGACCTCTGTCATTGCCAACAAAGGATATACAACAAAGTATTGAGATGAACTTTTGTTATTGACCAAATACTTATTTTCCACCATTATTTGCAAAAAAATTATTTAAAAGTCAGACAAAATGATTTTCTCAATTTTTTTTCACATTTTGTCTCTCATAGTTGAGGTCTACCTATGATGTCAATTACAGGCCTCTCTCATCTTTTTAAGTGGGAGAACTTGCACAATTGGTGACTGACTAAATACTTATTTTCCCCACTGTATGTTTTATTTACAAATATTTGCTCCGTTAAATGCTTTAAAATTCATTCATTCTCTTTGAAATCTGCTTGTACTCGCTCTTAGGCTACTTTTATTTTTGCTACTTTTAGCCTCTAACTTTTAGATGATTTTAGCTTTTGCTACTTTTATATTTTAGCTATTTTTAGATTTTTTTGCCAGCCTTTTGCTAATCTTACATTTTCGTTAGCATTTTGATGCTTTAATTGGTGTTTTGCTATTTTTAGCATTTAGCCTACGTTTTGCTACTTTTGTTACCTTTAGCTACTTGATAACATTTAGCTACTTTTAGCTTCTAGCTAACATTCTGCTACCTTTTAGATTTTAGCTAGCCTTATGCAATTTTTGATACTTTTACTCTCTGTGTAGCTACTTTTAGTTCTGTTCTTTCAGATTTTAGCCAGCCTTCTTGCAACATTTAGCTTCTTACTTGTAGCTACTTTTAGCTTCTATAATATTTTAGCTAGCCATTCTTTTTTCTCTTTATAACCATTTTATTTTAATTGTTTTGTTTCTTTTATTTTTAGCCAGCCTCTTGCTACTTTTAGCTTCTGCTAGTTGTAGCTTATAGCTAGCCTTCAGCTCAAATGAAAACCTGATGTTTTTTGGGTTTTGGGCAGTTTTTAATTATAATTGTCCTCCTCTGACCCCTCCAGACCTGGATGCGGTATCAGAAGACCCGAGCTCCCCGCGGAGAAAGACTCGCCGTCTGTCCAGCTGCAGCTCGGAGCCGAACACCCCGAAGAGCGCAGCTAAGTGTGAAGGAGACATCTTCACCTTCGACAGAACAGGTAGAGCCACACCTGGTGAAGAGCTTAGAACAGGTGTCCTCTGTGGTCCTAAACACAGATCTCTGTCCACCCAGGTCTGGAGGGCGAGGTTCCTCTGGGGGACCTGGACCGGGTCCCGTACTCGTCTCTGCGCCGGACTCTGGATCAGCGTCGAGCGCTGGTCATGCAGCTGTTCCAGGAGCACGGCTTCTTCCCGTCAGGTAGAGTAAACGTCTCGTCGGGAGCTTCTCCATGTTGCCCGGGTCGACTGCAACCTACTTCCTGTTTTGTCTCCGCCCACAGCTCAGGCCACGGCCGCCTTCCAGGCGCGCCACTCGGACACGTTCCCCACCAAGGTGTGTCTGCAGCTGAAGATCCGCGAGGTCCGTCAGAAGATCATGCAGACGGCCACGCCCGGATCCCTGGAGCACGGGGTGCTGTTTGAAGCCAGCCCCTCCCTGTCCCACAACCTGTCCTCCAACCCGTCAGCACGAGAGGACGGAGGGACGGAGCAGCAAGGAGACAAAGGCCCGGGCGCCGAGGAGCCGAGGAACGACGCACCGTAAACTGGAGGAGACACAAAACAAAAAAACGAGAGAAGAGCGTGTGGACCGGTAGGATCCAGAAGGATCCGATCCACCAGACCTGGGCAGAGAAGATGAGACGATTCAAACTCCAGGAGACGCTCCTCGATTGTCCAATCAGACTTTAGAGTGTCCAAATCACACGAGTCAAAAGAATCCTGAATGTGTTTAGAGACAAACGGTGCCCAGGTCTGCTTTCAGCACCATGCAGTAGCTGTGGTACACACACTCTATCTCTCTGACACACACACACACACACACACACACACACACACACACACACACACACACACACACACACACACACACACACACACACACACACACACACACACTGCAGGGTTGGACCGTTGGACGAATATTTCAACAATTTAAACGTTTTAATTATGTTAATATTATTGTTGCAGAGCTGAATCTTGGCTCTACAGAGGCAGGATTTATGGGTTTAAACCCCACTTTTTATCAGTCGGTTCTTATTCACTGTTATCCCTGAAACTATACTTGTTTTTAACTAAAACGATAATAATTGTCACCAGTTATATCACCTAATCTCACCAGTTTTTTCCTCATGTAGTCGAGGAAAGACAGTTTTAAAAAATCCAATTAAAGACGTTTCTCTTCCCATCTGGAGAAAGGGAAGTTCCAGACTTTAAAGTCCCTCCCCTCCCTCCTGAGGGTCATCAGGGTCCTGGCGCAGGCATGAACGGATCACATGCATGTTATCTTACACAGATTTCCTACATGTTGCAGCTGGACGGAGGTGTAGAGAAATCTCACAGATTTTTTTTTTAGATGATACAGATTTTTCAAAAACTCAGCTTCAACCGTCTCAGAACCTATAAGATATAAAATAACCACTAATTCCTAACTAGAGCTGGGTATCCAGGACAGAGACTCTTAAAGTGCCGGTGACATCCATCAAATACAAAAAAAGAAAACACATTTTTATACAAGAAATCTGGCATAAAACATGTGATTTCACCTATTTTGTCACATAAATGGCACATTTTATTTTGAACTTGGCTCAGCCAAAGTGCAACAGGAAGTGACATCAAAGGGGAACTCTTTAAGAAACAGAACTCTAATCTTTGTTTATTGAAACTATTTTATTTAAACTTTAACTCTTGTTCATCTCTCTGATTATGACTCAAAATAATCTAAAGGAACATCAGATTCTTCTCTACAGTCTGTGTCGTTAGCTATTATATCAATGCTTTATTCCATGCAGACATTCCCCTTTGACATCACTTCCTGTTCCTTCACATGCAAATATCTCAACAAATTTTCATCTCAGGAGCGGGAAATTATTTTTGCAATATGCTAATAATGTTATCTTTCCAATAATGTCTTTATATTTATTTAAAAAAATCATATCACAGGCACTTTAACCCTTGAGTTGTGACCCTAAACTGGGCCAAGATCACCACCTTGAGGGCCTCAAAAGTAAAATCCGATGCATATTACTTTATAATTATTGCTCAATGCCACTGACTCAAAAAACAGCAAAATATTATAAAAGTATATATATTCATAATTATAAAAACCAAAATCAGTCCAAAACGTCTGTTTTTTAAAGCGTTTTCAGAATTTTCACACATCGCTATACTGCCCCCTAAAGGTCGGGGGGTGCATTGATATTAAAATAACAGAAATAAATAGGATGTTGCTTTTAAAAATATCAATATATCGACCCGCTCTGCAGCACCGGAGCAACAGTGTTGTGCCACAGAAGACTGGGGGTCTCCACCAGCTAACGTCCAACCCTCACACACACACACACACACACACACTCACACATCTACCAAATCAGACTGTTACTCTTGGTCGTCCGTCCCCAGGAGCCGCGGCCGAAGGACGGAGACCCCACAGGGCACTTTGTTACCGTGCAGATGCAGTTTGCTGTCGCCAGCAGCCACTGAACCCCTCAGATGAACCTGACCTCCTCCCTGCCCTTCCACTCCTCAGCACCGTGGTCGGGCGGCAGACACAACCCCAGCGACCTCCACTGATATTCCACAGCCCCTGGATGCTGCAGGACACACACACACGCACACACACACACGCACACAGAAACACACAACCCCGGTGTGACGAAGCCATCGGCCTGCACAGTTTCTACTGATTGTAGTGAGAAGAGGAGGAGATGCAGCGTGACCAATCTTTGCACCTTCAGTTGTTGCCGTTAGGATGGAGCTAAGTGGCAGGAGCTGACTTTATGTCTGTTGTCCCCCCCCCCCTCAAACAAACAAACAAACAAACAAACTGTGTGCACCGAAAAGAGATTATATAAAGAGACTTCCGGTTGTGAGGCTTTGAAGAATTAAACTCAACGCTGAGGACAAAAAGAGGAGGAGAAGCAGAAACTTCTTCGAATAATCCCCCCCGTCCCCCCCCCAAAAAAAATGAATATGATGTTGCTTTTTCTTGTTCTTGTTGCCGTTGAAATAACCAGTTTTACCGTGGCCTGTTTTTCTCTCGTGGCTCTATCGTGTTTCTTCTCCAGCATAAAAACAGAATCACAAAAAAAAGAAACTCTGGATAAAGAAGGGGATAAAAATCAGTTTTTTTCCTACTCCCCCCTTCTCTTAAGATTTCTCACCGGATGCAGAAGTTTGGGGGGAGGGGGGTTATTTGTAAAAAAAAAAAAAAAAACATAAAAAAACGAAAAAAAAGGAAAGGA